AGGTGATGGGTATGTTCATTTTCTCCATTGTGGTGATGTTTTTATCATGTATACATATATCAAAACTTACCAATTACACAGGTTATATATGTACAGTTTATTGTATGTCAGTTATACCTCAATAAAGCTGTTCAAAAAAAGAATCGTTCATCTTACCCAAAATAGAAGAGTATGACACAGGCATAAGACAGGATTCCTTGCACTTTAATTGAGCTTGTTACAACTCTGATGAGCTAGCCAGAAACAAACCGAAACACAAAGACACACAAACAAAACAAACAAAACATACAACCATAGAGGTATTAGTTAATACTGAAACAAAAGATTTCTCCAAGCTAATTTTAACACTTTAGGCACACACCTGCAGCTTGTGTCTAAATTCATGTGGGCAGTCCTAGATTTGCCCACTCCTATCAAAATCTGCCTGATGGTGACACCTGTTGTGGTAGATTTGGATTTGCTTAGGCAAAACTAGGATACCGTGGCAAATACTTGTTTGCCTCTCTGACCCTCTGGAGTCAGATACTAACTACACAGAGTTCATAAAGGGCACATTTACTTGCACCTAATGGAGATGCAAATCAGCGATTTTTAAAATGGAAAATTATTCTGTAAAGTACAAATGAACTCTTGCTACACATTTCCTTGCCAGAGCTAAGAACATTCAGTGGGCGTTTCCCTAATCCTTGCCTTTTTTTTTTTGTTCTTTGTTCTCTGGCTTCTTAAGAACTTCCAAAGACTTGCAGGGAGCACAGAGAAAAGGGAACTGTAGGAGGTTTGTATTGTTTAAAAAAAATTAAATACTATGATGGAATTAATTACTTAAAGGTCAAAATAGTTTGTCTCTTTTGGATAGTTATGGTTAAACATTTTCTTACTTATGTCACAGAAATATAAGAGTGGCACATTATCCTTTGGAGTCTGCTGAATAAACCTGTTGGGACCTATCAAGGAACAATGTTTACACATTATCTGTGCCCATGTATTAAGGTCTAGGAGGACTGTACATGGAAATGAAAAATCAGGTCATATCTAGTCATGTCTAGCTATCATTTAATGAAAGGTCTA